GAATGGAAAGGAATAATTACTTACAACAGTAGGCTATTTCAAAAAAATAAGCACCCATTATTTAAGCTGCCTAGATACAAAAATCCAATACATGTAATTTATTGCATTGATATCAATAATGGAATGTGTTAATAGAAACAATTATCAGGCATTTTACAGCTCAAATCATTAACAGTCTTATTTTACTTAACATTCTATTGAGCACAGAGCAGATGAGGCAAGAAAGAACATACTATGAACAAACTCACACAGAGAGCAAGCATTCTAAACTGAGTAATATCTTAAGAACTCTTAAGACACATTCATGGTTTTATCACTATAAAAGTGAAAAGCCTACCAATAGTTAGCCTCATTTAATCAAGCAGTAGGAAAATGCTTTCAGTCCTAGTTTCAGGAATTGAATGCATTATGGCAACATTATCTTTAAGTTCAGGTCATTTTAAGCAAGTAACTCTAAACAAATGTTAGAAAGATAAAAAACTTAGATGTCTTTGTCTGGAATAACATTCAAATCAAACGGTGATCTGAGAGCAACCCAAAATCTTCTATCCCACTGATTTATGTAACACATTCCAAATAAAACACTGAACAATACACAGAAATAAACTGAGGAAAGAAAATACCAAGGTGCAGTTTTCTTGTCCATTTTCTTTAGCACTTTTTTTCCTGTTTCTGAAGCCCTTACTTTGGATGACAGAACTTTCTTTACAGAGGAACTTAGCAGCTGTGGCTTCTGTGGATGTTTTAGTAAAGCAATGACTGTTTAAAACTGAAAAGTGTCAATAAGAAAAAAAAAAAAAATTCTTACACTGAGCACGACAACAAGTATTAGATATTAATAAAATAGCCTTGCATAGACCCTATGCAATTAGCACATAGAGCTAAAATACAATTATCAAATGAGAAGTCTGATAGAAATATTAGTCTGATTGTTGAGTTCTCTTGAAATATTAAGCAAAATCTTGATCTTGCCAACTTATTTTCCCAACCACTTTTCCACTTTTGCTTATATAAATTAGCAAGAATGGGACGTAATACTAATGATTTTAGAGTGATTGAACAAGCTGAAAAGCGTCTGAAAAGGAAGTCTTTTATAGCACAATACATTAAGAAAAAAACAAACTAAAACCCAAAACCCACCAGCCACCCCAACAATAATATCTTGTTTCCCAAAATATAAACAAGCATGTGTCTGACTTGCTAATACCCTTTACAAAGCACGAGGTACTATAAAAGATAATTTGGGATTCCAGTGGAATATCTGAATGGGACAAGTTAACATGCATTGTTAGAGGACTTGCTAGCTCAGGCTTTAAGTTGAAGCTGCTAGGTTGAGCTTAACCAAGACGAGGACTTTGCCACACAGGTATATTACACATTCAGCCATATTTCAGAAATGAAAATAAGATTGGAGTTATCAAATGCACATTAAGACCCCTTATTACTGTTAAAGAGTTTATTATAGGAAAAGTGTGGAACTTATGCTTCTACATCCAAGAAAATAAATTGATAATTTCTCCCACATTGAGTGCTGCACAGTAAATGAGATACCCTGAAAATAATTATAATACAAGAGTCAAAATCTTATTTTAAAAAAAGTGAGGGGTGTATATTCACAACACTTACACTTTACTCCAGTGTCAAGCTCAAATGCATTGATAGTTTCCAATAAGGCCTGAATTATTTCCTTAAATCTGGAATTTTCTTTCAGACTTCTGAAATGACATCACCACACAAGTTGTTTTAAGACAAATGTATAGGTCAACTATTAATAGTTTTCCTAAAATTTAGGCTGAACGAAAAAAAAGAGTAAAACTCCGAAGTAGATGAGACAATGAGAAGTTGTTGCTGAGGAATAATAACAATTCCCCAAAACAACTATCACTATGTGAATGAAAACTTTCAAAGTGAAAATTTCCTATTTTTCCTCACACAGCTTTAGCACAGAGAAATCAGTCATAATGACTAAACAATAACAGTTACACCTGATAGCAAAAACATTTGCTAAAAATGGTGTTTTCACCTGCAATCACTTGAAAAAAATATATACTGAGGTAAAGCACTAAAGAGTTACTCCTTTAGAAATTAGCAGCTTACTTAACCACCTTGTTTATTTCAGTCTTCTGCCAAGACACTTTTAAGACAATTAAATCTTCCTTAGAGCTCAAACTTCTCATTCTCAAGTCCACTTGCCAAAATACATTACCTTTTGGTGATTTCAGTCTTACACAAAGGACACTGTATCACCTCTTTCATCTTTTTGCTGAGGAGTTTGAACATGCAGAACCTAGGGAAAAAAAGAATCATCACAATAGTAACAATAGGAAGGATTTTCTTTTCTTTAGAACTGCGCCTAGGTGTGCACCACTTAGTAGAGATCCTTCATTATCAAGTTGAATGCATGTATTCTTGTTCTAGTATTACAATGAATTAATCAATACCCTTTGACACACCTGTGAAACCAGTTATTTCCTATTCATCATTTACTTTTCCCTTAAGGTACACATTAAGTTACTAAATTACAGTATATGTCATTAAAATTAAAGAGAAAAAGTGTACACGAAGAACAAGAACAGATTGACTAAGCATTGAAATAACAAGTTTTCAAACCTACCTGCAAAATGTGTGATCACATTTTGTTGAAACAGGCTCTTCAACCACATCCAAGCTATAAAATCAAAGGAGAACAAGAACACAGAAGTACCATATAAAATAGGAGCAACAAGTAAGACACAGAAATAGTCACTTTTCTGAACTTATAAAAAAAAATTCTTATTGTGGAAGAAGTAGGACAGAACTGACATTTTTTCATTTGAGAACCAGGAAAAGTAACAAATACTGTCAGTATGTGATATATACCTATCTACTGGCTTTTCACTATCTTTGTCTGCCTGTGGCAAAAAGACAGCATTTTCTGGAAATGCCAGTTCATCAGGGCAGGAAACCTGGTGTTAGAACACTAATGTTCTTATTTTTCAATGCTGACCTCCCGTGACGAGAGAAAAGAACTGTGCAGCTCTGTTAAGTTCAGAAGCCCACTGGACTTCTACTATGTTTGTATGAGCCAAACTCATGGAGGCATCAACAGAAATTAATAGTTAAGTTTTTCTTTTCCCCTCCTGTTTTTCTATTCTAAACCCATTCTCATCTAGCACAGTATGAAAAAACAACATAACTTGATGCTAAGGCTTTCAGAAAAGCTCGAACCAATTCACTGCTCAACTCTAAACATAGCCTACCTTGAACATATACTAAAACCAACCACACAAAAAGCAACTCTACAAAATGCTGCTGATTCAGGCAAACATTGTGTTGCAAACCCCAGTTCTAGAAGAAAGGTTTCATGAGTTTCATACTGTGTATGTAGATAAGGAAGCCTCCCTATGATTGTGTTCTGTCTCCAAGCTAGCAGTAGGTAACAAAAGCTTATATCATGACTCCAAGTAAACTGCCACAACAACACAACTTAGACAAGAACAGCACAAAGAAACATAATGCTATTAATGCAGATCAGTCTAACTTGTGCCTATAGCAAAACATACACCAAGAGCCAAAAGCAGCCTCAGCATTACTTTTGCATGCATTATTCATTCCTCAATGTAATCCATTCACATTTTGGGATGTTTTAGTATTTTAATTTGCTATAATAGAAAATAAATGTTACTCCTTTATGTCTTAATGTCACATATGGAAATGAAGTGAGACGTGCCCAACTTCACCATATTCACAGCCCTCTGCCCAGTTAACAAATACCTACAAAATTGCTAGTTGCATTAAAATCCTGGTTTTGATCTGCCATTCATGTGTCCTGCTACCTAACCTAAATTCTGCAGCAAAGATTGTAGAAGCGTGTACCAACGAAAAATAAAACAAGCAAGTAAGCCAAAAACAGCACCAAAAATCACCATTCCATGTTTTAGTTTTCCAGTATCAGTAAAGCAAAATCTTCCCAAAGGGATTTAAAATGTAAGGATTTAAAAACATTTGCCACCATAGACAAAATTCATCAGTTTGGTTCAATGGAAGCACATATCTTTCAGAAGCTTATCAGTCATTCTAGGTATTTAGGCTTAAACTAGGATCTATGCTACTTCAGTATTTGTTTGCATTAAAAAACTACAGAGCTTGCTTACTCACCTTTTAGAAACAAAGATCCAGGCTGGTTTACAAACAATATGCTAATGCAATCAGCTATGTTTTTGTTTTTTTCCTAACTAGATAGAGGACTGACACATTTAGGTTTTAATAGAAAAGCAGAATTTACTACAACATAACAGCAAAATATGTGTTCTATCTTGCACTTTCTCACTTGACCCTTACAAAACATCAGTATGCTTAGCCTTAAAATTAAGCCAATGAACTGAAAAAGTACTTGAAAAGAAAGGAAAAGAGAAAACGAAGTTTCATTAATTACGCTAATGCAGAGTTCACATTCTTCTCCTAGCATACCATATTGGGCACTCCAAGATCTTCTGCATAGCTGAAAGCACATTTTGTATGTCTCCAACAGCAATCACAGGTAAGTCCATCCTTCACATCCGAAAATACTCTACAGAAAAAAAAGAAAAAGTAATCATCTTTGTTTCTGACCTGTTGCATCCCATGACTACGTTTCCTCCTGTATGGGTTTTCCTATACCATGCTGAACAGTATCAAATACTTCGCTATTTCTTGACTGAGGCTTTACAGCGTTGGTAAAGTTCTTACTCTGAATTTTTAGTCAAAACTTGTAAAGTCTCTTGCAGCCAAAGGCACAAACTGAAAGGGTTTACAGAAGCGGCATGCAGCATAAACTCAGCGAGGGCACACACAGGCGTAAGAACGAAAAAAAGGGGCTTCTAGGTGGGAAAGGATGTGAAGCAAACAGCAGACGTGCTTTTGTAAACGACTCTGGGAACTGCCTACGCCAACCAGTATAAATAAGACCTAAAGGAACCATCACGAATACTGAAAACAAATAGAAGCCGCTTAGCCCTTCCGCGGCGGTAGTTCGGGAACAGGGACGGGCCCCGCAGCGAGGCCTGACAGCACCCCCAGCTCGCCCCGCTCCGGCC